CCCACAACAAAGTAATATGCCTGAGCTCCCTATATACAAAACAGGAAGTATAACATGGGGAAGAATCAAGGCAGCTTTTATTTAACCAGCTATAGGAAAATTCACACCCTCGGTAACTCAGCGCAAGAAATAGTATGAAACCTGCAGGTGGCTAGTCATGAACCCATGCACTGTCATTAACCCATGCACTGGCTTACAGTTTGTTTCCAACAGGGTGGGTATGATTACTCAGAAAGCCTTGATTGAATCTGTGATCTCCCTCCCCAAGCCCCCCTCTTGCACTCTTACTTCCTATAACACAGAGAGAAACGCGTGACTTTTCATTCATAAATTTGCAGAGGTACAACAGCTAGGGTTGCCAGTCTAAAGGCATTAGCATCATTCAAGGAAACTATTGAAAACAATCTTGAAGACTTTAATAGGGCATTCAAGATTTTCCAACATTGTATCATGTCCATACAGGAAAATGTCCCAGTTATCACCTCATTTAAGAAATAAAGGACTGACCACGTTTGTTATTTCTCTCCTCTGCATATTGCTATTAACACACTTTGGAAACACAAAATCAAGTCTGAAAACAGCAAACTTTTCTGATGGTGTTTTCTAGACTGAGTACTAGACAGAGTATTTAAAGACAATGAAAACCTCAACAATCTATTCTATATTGAAGTTTGTAGAATCCTTCAAAGTTGAGGTTCCAGTCCAAGAAGTTCCAGTCCAACAACATTTTCTACTCCCAGACAATGCAACTCCCTTCTAAGAGACAACCGTCTTGTCCTTCTGCCAACAGCCTCTAAGACATTTTTATTTCAATAGTCTTTTGGCCACTGATTAACTAAACATTTAATTGGTGGGTGTTCTTTCTTTGTTGTTATCATTCTTGAGTGGTTTCTAAACTAAATTAATTTAATGTTGCTTTAGTGTAATCTGTTTAATATTGTTTAATCCTGTAATTTATTGTGTTTCTTAAAAAAATGCAACATGTTTTTAAATATGTGCTGCAACTAACTAGCCTTGGGTCTTGCAAGAGAAAAAGGTGGATAACTAAGCAAAATAATTAGATAAACAAATGTCATATTCATTGTTAATATATAATCTCATAATATAGTATAATAAAATATTCTAAGTTTTAGCACAGAATTTGAATCTATAATCCTTATGCACTAATGAGATTTTAGAGCTATAATACAGTTCAAATTAAAAGTTTATCACATAGGGTATGTCTAAAGAAAAATCACTTCAAAAGTGAAAACAAACACTTAAATTCAATTTAATTTTTTAAAAATCCTCTTTATAGGGGAAAAAACTATTTCCATCCCTTCTGGTTTTCAGTAGAATTCAAAATCCCAGTGATGACCTTTAAGGCTCTGAGTGATTTCAGACCAGGAATCTAAAGAGCTGCTTTTTCCTGTGAAAACCTTCCTTCCTGCTACGTATTTATTTTATTTATTTATATTATTTATATGCCCAAGGTGGCTCATGATGGATAAAACAAGCAGCTATAAAATACTATATAGATATCACCTTAAAAACAATTAAATCTATATTAAGATGAAAAACCAAGATTAAAAACAATTTTAAAATGTTTAAAAATCTGTAAATTAAAGACTAACATTCCTGAGACAACTTACTACTTAAAAGCCTGCCTGAAGAAGAAGGTGTTTGCCTGAGGATGGAAGGACTATAAGAAAGGGGCCTTCCTGGCTTTTCAGAGCAGGGCACTGTGATCTGGTTGTTTGTCAAATTCTGACATTTCCTTATTTTAAGCGGGAAACGAAAGGAGAGGAGTTCCTTTGAATAAACTTTTATTAACAACGTCAACTGGGTTTTCAATCACAACTTCTATATGTTCTGTATAAGGTAAAGGTAAAGGTTCCCCTTGACAATTTTTGTCCAGTCATGTTCGACTTTAGAGGGCGGTGCTCATCCCCGCTTCCAAGCCATAGAGCCAGCGTTTGTCCGAAGACAATCTTCTGTGGTCACATGGCCAGTGCAACTTAGACACGGAACGCTGTTACCTTCCCACCGAAGTGGTCCCTATTTATCTACTTGCATTTGCATGCTTTCAAACTGCTAGGTTGGCGGGATATGTTCTGTATATGCTTTATCAACTGGCAAGTCTGCCCATAACAAAGGTAAGGTATTCTCGTAACTGTCTCTCTTTATTGGAATGACTGACTGAAACGCTCCTGATCCGCCGGCTTTCTCATACATCGACTCCTTACTGTACAGATCATCCCGCAGCAAGGATGATGTGACCATTCTCCCTCTGGGCGTCCCTCGTGGGGCTGAACTGGTCCCGGACGAATTACCCTCTTCCAGGGACCTCGACCTTGTAGGTATACCAAGACTGTCCATTCCTCCAGTGAAAATCCTTCAGTTATCGGCTTTCCTTTGTTCAGCTTTTTCTCCGCTTCCCTCACGTCACGGTTCTCTGTCCCTATCCGCTTCTGTGGGATCTTGAATACATGCGGCCCACTTTCCCCTTCTAGCCATTCTTCTTCTAACACCACTACCTTACTTGTTTCTCCTGAGCCTTCTCTCCCTTCTGACATGAGGAAAACATCTATTTCCCTTTTTATTCATTTCTCTCGCTCCTCCTCCTTTCCCGCCTTTAGCCCTTTCATCTTCACTGTGACTTCTTCTACCACCCTTTCTCTAATTCCTCTATCGTTCTCCTCATCTACAGATGCTTGAGGGGACGGCTCACTCTTCCTTTTCTCCTCCTTTGCATCTTCCTTCTCACAGGCACTCCAGAGCCTGGGAGCTGCCACTGAGAAGGCCCTGCTGTGGAACAATCTGTGAGATTTCCATATGGGATAGAGAGGTTTCTTCCCTGATACTGGCCGCCATTCAGGACCAAATGAAATACTGTACAGTATACATATTTCATTGTGAAGACTGAGGTTGCTATTGAGAAAGAGAGTGAGCCATCCTCTCATGCATCTGGGGCAGGAGGAATGAACACTCTTGTGTGCCTCTTACCTAGGGAGATAGAATATCTAAATGTAGGAGGAGAGGTAACTGAAGTGCAGGGGAAGAAAAAGGCGGGAAAAGAGGAGAGGGAAGTGGAAGATTTCTTGACGACAGAGGGGGAGGAGGAGGAAAGGAAGATAAGTTGGGGTTTGGAAGAGGGGGTTAGTCCAGAAAGGAAAAGAGGAGAGAATCTGAAAAAGGAAGAAGTTAGATCTTATGTGTTCAATGGGACGAAGTGAGGAGAGGGAGAGGCAGTGGATTTGTGCGAGGGCAAGGAGGACATGGTCTGGAGGTACAACTCGGGAAGCTTAGACCCCTTAGAAAGGATCGTATGTGTATACCCACGGGGAAAAGGTCCTTGGAGGAAGGTGGTTCATCCAGATCTGATTCTGGTAGCTCAGACAGTTCAAGGGGGAGACTGGGCCCGTCACCCATGTTGTGAACCATCTGTGCAGTGAGGAGTGGCCCCCTGAGAAAGCCAACTAACAAAGAGAGGTTCGGAGCCTCCCCGCATTAAGGGATGATGAGTTGAGTTACGGACTTCCTTTATCTTGGACAGAGTTTCTGTTAACAATCAGTCCTGTTAGACCCACAAAAGTTAATGTTGATCCTCCCACACCGATCATCAGTAAAAGCTTGGTTGATAAAAAAATATGACTCCTGTGTTTAATTCTGCCAAAAGGGAGGAATTGCATATATATTACGAAGCTGAGCAGTTCCTCCCTTTTGGCAGAATTAAACAGAATGAAATAAAATTATATATATATATCCTTTTTGATTCATGCTTCATTGTTCCCAAAGTCAAACAAAGTGTCCTGCTTAGGCAAATGAAACAGAAAACCCTCAAAACAATTCTATTTCTGGCAGCAAAATATACTGCATCAAAACTTTCGGTTTCATTACATCTCAAATCTGCTGTGGCATTTGCCTCAGTCTCTGAAACAGCACATTGTTCCTATTTCCTTGTTCGTCCATGACTTTCCAGGAACTGGTGAAGACCTTTCTTTTTCAAAAGGCAATTATTTGGTAGTTTTAATTCGTTCTTCTAATCTGCTGTTTATTCAACGGACAATTTTCACGGTATTTCCAACATACGTAAATATAAGTGGCGATATATTTTACTGACGCGATACGCATTTGAAGGCAGACTTCTCAGCCTCTATGACACGTAATCAGGGAACAAAAGTATCACGTGCTTTCCCCAGAAAACGTGTGAAGCAGCCGTAGAGAAACTGCAGAGTTGGGCACGTGGGTAAGATGGAGGCTTTAGCCGTAATGTGCCAGGGATTTTTATCCTGTTTAAGTTGGCTCTAGTCGGAACCGAGTTTTATGAAACACTCGTCATTACACTCTTTGATAAGGCGTTATTCTCACGAGTCAAGCACACCTAATAAATATCGAGGAGGCATAACTAGGAAGACAATCGTTTTCCTCAGAATGCCACGAGAATACTTTTTACTCCTTTCGCAGGTAGGCAGTCGTGTTAATTACTGGGGGGGGGGATAAATTCAGACGACATAAATAGCACAGCACCCTTTATTAGAACAAAAGAGAAACAAAGAAAACGGGACCCAGTAAATGGTGGCTGAGCCGAAGGAAGGTTTTACACTGCTCCTGCCGTGTGGAATTCATTTTTCTCTCCCTCATTGGCGAGACACAACACAGCTTCCCCTCAGACCTCCGTAGCCAACAGACTTATGGGCTGGCAAAGGACAGCTTCCTAACTCAAGTGGGAAGCGGTGGCCGCGGCGGAAAGCCCATGAGGTCTCCGCACCGCCCACTTGCGTGCTTCTCTCCCCTCGTGCCCTCCCTCCCCTCCTCCCGCGCGTTCTCATTCCTGATAAGGTCAACTCCGCCTGCGCAGTCCCGTCTTTCTCGTACTCCCGCCCGCGTTATGTAATGGGAAGGCGCTGCCATTGGCCCGACGCGGGCGCAGCCGGATAAGGCGTTGGCGGGAGCAGCCTGGCCTAGCCTCTCCCTCGCTCGCTTGGTGGTAAGAGGAGCGGAGGGAAGGAAGGAAGGAAGGAAGGGGGGAGGGGCGGCGCATGCGCACGGCCGGCCGCGGCGGAGGCGCTGCTGACGGAGGGACGGACCGATTGACTGACCGACGGGCAGCATAGGCAGACGGACGGACAGGAAGGCGCCCGGGCTTCTCCATTCTCTCAGGGGAGGCGGCGGTGGTGGTGGTGGCTGCTGCGGCGGCGGCTGCTGCTGCTGCTGCTGGGCAGCGCGGAGACTTCCTCTAGCCGTCGCCTGACGCCTGCTGCTCGGCGGGATCCCACAGCCCGGGTAAACGAGGCGGGAGGGACGGAGAGGGGTTGGGGTTGGCGGCCAGGCCCGGCTTCGCGAGGGCGAGGCCGCCGAGAACCTGGCTTGGTCTCGAGTGAAACGTCTCTCCTCCCCACCTTCCTCATTACACGGAAGGCTGTTCTCTCTTTGCCCTTCTCCGAAGGAAAGCTTTCCTGTCAGGGGCTGCGGGGTGGGTGCGGAAGAAAAGAGAGGCCTCCCGTACGCGGTTCGTGTATATTCGGGTGGGAGAGACGTTGTTATGCTGAAACGGACTAGCTCGGTTCCCTCCTCTCCTATAGCCATAGGAATAAATGGTCGCCACTTCTTATTTAAGCTTGGGAGGCCAGACATTTTACAGTACTTTGCTGGGTGGCTTTATTATGACCCTGGTCTATTGAGGGCATTTCACACTTTTTCTTCCGCCTTCATGGACGGGGAGAGTCTTTCCTTACCTGTATGTTATGGGTGGGTGCTGTTGGTTCCTCTACAAAAACTATGAGGAGTTGTCAGTTTGTTTTGGGTGTTGGGGTTAGGTGGTATTTATGATGGTTTTGAAAGTTATTTTTTAAAAGAAAAATAATACATCGGTTCCCTGGAAAACTACATTTCTAAATAATGTTTCGGGTCTTGAAACAAAGAATTAAGCAATCTTTGCAGTTTCAGAATGGTCTGTATTTGAAGATTGCCATCTGAATGCTGGAGGTGATGGAGTCCTGTTTCTAGGAGCATCTGTTCTTATTTGAATAAGTGAACTTGAAGGAACAGTGTAACTTTGAGCTTCATTGAGATCAGGTTGATGAGGCCTTTCTGTGTTTTAAAAAAGTTTGTTTACTGTATTATAGGAAAGCAAAACGAAATAGAAAAACAGTCATGTGAGTTTTGTTTTTTTGTCTGGCTAGGTTTTTGCACAGATATGTGCATCAAAAGAAACTGTTTTTTATGGGCCCATGTTTCTTGCCTTTTTTTTCCCAAGCTAACACAGTTCCTGGCCGCCTTTATCCTCCCCCCCTTTGAGATCACATGGTGAGACTTAGCCTACTGTTCTTCTCATTTGTAACAGCTTAAAATGGAGCTGGAATGCTTTTTTGTATGTACTGTATCTACTATGAGCACAGTTGGGATTAAATGTAAGGGTGCATCATAGAGTTAGATCTAGTGGAATGGCAACAAATCTCTTTTCAATGGCATGTGCAAAAGGCAGCTGCTTCTCACTAGCCTGGGATGTGAAACTTTACCATTTGTTCTTGATCACATGTACTGGTTGGCTGCATACTTAAATATTTCTAAAAAACAAGGTCTTGCACAAGGGATATGTTTGATGACATAATCTTATGTATTTGGAGGTATATTTCAAAGGTCTGTTCATTTCATAGTGGCATCTTTTAAAAATTGCATCGTGGTGTTTCTGATTATGTTAAGAAGTGCCAGATACAGTAGTATATTGACAGTTGAAGTATGTTGATCTGCATATTAATATAAATATATGAACATAGTCTCCAAGAATGCATTTAATAGACCATTCTGTATTTTCCTGCATGCACAGAACTTTGGTGTGCAAGGACAAAATATGTGTGTTGGATTCTGGACATATATTTCAGATTGTAAACCAGGAAGAGTCTGACAACATGAGCTGACTATTGCTTAGTCTCAAGGGATTTGCTATCTGGCATTACAACTATGGAATTCTTTTGGGACTTTGCAGCTTGGAATGGTTAATAGTCTCATGGATGAGTTAAATGTTTGCCATTAGAAGAATCATTCTGCCTAACCTGGTGTTTCGAATTCTCAGCTGTTCTAACAAGGTACTGTTAAGCTTATAGTGGACATGACAAAACAACTGTATGAGTTTTATTTGGAAAGGAACACATCTCATGTCACAAGCAGCCAAAGGATCAAAGTCCAGTTGATCTTTTTGAAAAAATTATGTCCAGTATAACAGCTAACTATTGTGAAAGTAGTAATCAGCCATTACTGCATGTAGATGGACTATACACCCAAGAGCCAATGAATATTTAGAATGTTCTACTTGTGAAACTGATACTTAGTTCAACATGTTATTCTGTTTCCATATGTGTGACAAAGTGGATGTGTTCACAGAAGTTTACATTAAAATATAATCATTAGTCTAAGGTGCCACTTGTTTTTGTCTTATTTTGTTTTATTTTGTTTCTTTGACTTCAGGCATACAGTAGCTGTAGCAGATATTGCAAAAAGTTTTCTTTTCTTAGAGATCAAAATATCTCATTTAAATAGTAGATTTAAAGCTCATTAAAAAGATAATCTGATGTTATTATAGAAAGTAGAGATGGGGGTATTTGTATCTGAACACGAATATCCCCACACAGGTGGAAACCTGACTGTCCACTCATGATTTTGCCGCTGCTGCCAGGTCCGTGGAGGCTTCCTATTGTGCCAGTCTCTGCAATGGAGTTAACCACTCTTAGACCTAGCAGAGAGGCTTGTCATCCCACCTCCTACCAGGAGTGGTAATTGATTGCAGACAGCAACGCACTAGGAAGCATCCGCGGAGCCAGCAGCAGCGGCGAAATTGTGACTGGACAGTCCGGCCCCATAGGGCTGGACCCTCGTTATTTCCAGCTGCGCGGGGATATTCATATTTGAAATCAACCCTGAGTGCTCACTGGAAGGACAGATCCTGAAGCTAAGGCTCCAGTACTTTGGCCATCTCATGAGAAGAAAAGATTCCCTGGAAAAGACCCTGATGTTGGGAAAGTGTGAGGGCAAGAGGAGAAGGGGACCACAGAGGACAAGATGGTTGAACAGTGTCATCGAAGCTACCAACATGAATTTGATCCAACTCCGGGAGGCAGTGGAAGACAGGAGGACCGGGCGTGCTCTGATCCATGGGGTCACGAAGAGTCGGACATGACTAAACAACAACCTCTGTCTCTAATCAAAAGCAAATAAAAACAATACACAGTGTACATAGTTTTGAAGGTCTTCATCATAAATTAACAAGATTAAAAAAATATAATTATAGATCATCTCTGGATGGAGAATGTTGGATATAGTGTAGTCTTAAAGCTTTTGTTTGGAAGTACTTTTTAAATGGTTTCACTGTATGGTTCTGAATGAAGTCACAGTTGTGAAATACAGTCTTGCAGCACTGTCACTTAGAAACTAGCAGGAATGTTTTACTGTGTGATCTTGTGTTCCACCTCATATGTCTGAAGAAGTGGTTATAGAGGGTCCACAAATGCTTGCGGTAAAATATAACACTTAGTCTTTAAGGTGCCACATTGCCCCCCCCCCCGAAAAACCCCCAATGATTTTTCTTTCTTTCTTTTTCTTTTTACCTGATATGCTTAGAAAGCAGGGATATCCCAAAGGCCAGCTAAGCTATTGTTTCCTCCTGAATCATTTTGCTGGTATTTGGATGAAGTGCATTCTGAAATCTGAGTGGGAGACAGGAAAGTAAATTCTTGTGTCTTCTCTCTTCAAGAGAGCCCCCTTCCCAAATTCAGCTCTTTCCTAGACAGAATGAAAAAGTACACTTTGAGTCTCCAAGTCCTGTTGCTTAGCATAGTACAGTATGTTACACTAGTGTTGGCTCATTGAATCAGTGGGCATTTAGTGAGTCACCTCTGTAAGTTTGCTCTAGTTATAATTTGCTATGGTAATTTGCAACCAGAGTAGTCCCATTTGAATCAATGAAACTTACAGAGGTATTCACTCTCTACATTCCTGCTGATTCAGTGGGCATACTCTAGTGTGACTTACTATGCTAAGCAACAGGATTTTAGCCAGTTGAATATAATTAATGGTCTATTTCATTCCACTTTAAATGATAAAAATATACATAAAATATATTGGTCTCCTTCTCCATTTAGCTTTCCACCCCAGAAATTGCCCAAACATTCTGCATTCAATTTATTCTTGAAGGCCTTCACGGCCGGGATCCAAACAGAACATGGCCGAATAGCCAGAAAAACCTACAACAACCATTCTGCATTCAGTTTTGTAAACAAAATATTGCAACAGATTGATATGCAGATAGACTACCACTATTGTTCATATTTTCTTCCTAACTGCAACTCCTGGTCCCTCACTCCAGTTTCCTCCAAAGGCTCAACAAACCTTTCACACAGATTGGGGTGAACCATGAGTGACCACAGAAGGGAGGGGAAATTCAGTGCACAAGTGTCTCTATCAGTGACAGATGGATATTGTCTAATTCAGTCTTATGCAGTGATTTTGTGGAAATGAATTGGTGGGGTTATGTTGTAATTTTGAGTCCTTGTTTATTGATCATTAAGTTTGGTGGCGCACAGTTGAAATTTTAGTTATTGGTTCATACTTTATGTGAAATTATTATACATGTTGTAAATGGGGCTGCAGTGTATAACTAATAAGTAAAGCTTTTTGTCTAAAAGAACATCCTGTTCAATAAGGAAAAAACATTTTGGTATAAGTACTTCCAGCCTCTGTAGACAACAGGCATCACCTTGAGAAGCATTCCTCCCTGTGAAAAATACACGTGAGGGAATGCCTCTTTTGAGATAACTGGTATAGTACAAACATGCATCATAAACCTAAAGTGTGGGAGTTGCTTCAGAATTTTTGTTTGAATTTGCCAGCTTATTTGATTAATTAATCAGTTCAAGTTGTACATCTGTGCTTTTTTCCACTGGATTATAGCCCTAGCAAACAGGTGAGCCTAAGAGCAAATAGTAGGTTGTACAACATTAAAAAACGGAACAGCTAGATATAACTTTTTTTGCATTGTAGTGTTGATTTGCTTTCTTGAATTAGTGATTACAAAAGACTAGGATTATAGCTGATTAGAGCAGCATACTTAAAATGCGTAAATTTCTGGAATTTGTTTTTAAAAGCCATTCTTCAAGATGCAGTGAAATAACTAATTGTCTTGGGATGAGGGTAGGATTTGATTGTCGTTCACTCTTTTAGTTTTGTCTGTCTTGTCCAACAGAATGCCTAATAGCACATTTTCCTTTCCCAAAGAAGCAACATGTTATGTCGCTTCATGCTGTGCAGTTGTACAGTATTACAAATAATAGTTGAAAGCAAGCCAGAACTGGGTGAAGATTAATTATTCTGTGTTCATATGTTACTTGTTGAATAAACAAGGCACTAAAACAAGAAAATTACTGGTTCGCTTATGATGCCGAAATTAAATTAAAGCCGCCTAGAGTGGTCTTTTGACTAGATAAGCGGGGCATAAATGCAGTAAATCAAATAAATAAATGTTAATGTAATTCCTACTCAACTGTGAAGCTCACTTGGTTATTGTGAGCTCATTCTGCATGCTTAGCTAACCTGGTTGATAGGATATTGGGAGCAAAAAGTTATCTTATACACACTACTTTGAGCTCATTGACAGATGGGCAAGAATACAAGGTAATACATATGATTTTTATTGAAATAGTTTTGTATTGCTAAACTTGAAAGTCAGGTAGATTTACACTTGTTAAGATACTTTAAATAGTGTTTCTTATTTTGTAATTCATTTGCATCTGTTAGAGGCATGATTTTGAATTGTTTGCTATAACAACTAAAATATCCTGGCAGCAAAACCTTACCTTTATGCTTAAGAATATAGTCAATAATCTTTAGTCATATAGCCCAGATGTCTTTTACATTACTGCCTTTAAAAGCAAGAATAAAATTAATGGATTTGGGTCATTTTTCATGTACATGGAAGGGCTAACAACACAATTATTTTCATGTCATCTAAGAAGTACATTCATGGGACTTTAATCCTAGGTAGGTGACTAAATAGCAGAGCTGTACTTTGATTGACATCTATTTCCCACATGCTTTTTGTCCGATACTAAGTAAGTTGGATTTTGCAATAGTTGTATTTCCTGCTTACTGATTTCCACCTTCAAATATGCTCAAATCATTTAAGCTCATACTCTATTTTGTTCAAGAAGCTGCTGGAGAGACAGAATCGTTTACATATGCGACAGCATTAAAAATCTGATGGAAGTAATGTTCAACTTGCTTATGGCAGCTCTGCTTGAAGGAGGCAGTTTGATTCTCTGTGAAGCATGTCCGCATCAAATATCTAACACTCTGGGCATAAATTATATGGATTAATCTGTTGAAACAACAAATATATCATACTGAAAGCTGATATGCCTAACCTATGTGTTATGGTTTTCCTGTAGTGATACTTGGCCATGAATGTTTGGCCTTGAATGTGCTTTCTTATGCTGCCATTCTTTGGAAGAGATAATGCATAAGTAATTCTAAATCAGAAACAAACTGCTACAGATAGTTTTCTGGCACTTACCTAGATTTTGTAATGTAATTGACTGTGTTTCAGTGGTCATCTTGCTGTTCTGTTGTTCATTTCTGCCCATCAGTACACATCTACATTCAGTTAATCACACATTTTAAGGTACAGTGGTGCCTCGCATTACAATCGCTTTGTTTAACGATGAAATTGCATTACGATGAACTTTTTACAATTGCAAAATGATGTTTCTTATGGGGAAGTACACATCTACATTCAGTTAATCACACATTTTAAGGTACAGTGGTGCCTCGCATTACGATCACTTCGTTTAACGATGAAATCGCATTAGAATGAACTTTTTACAATTGCAAAACGATGTTTCCTATGGGGGAATTTCGCTTTGCGATGATCAGTTCCCTGCTTTGGGAACCAATTCTTCACAAAACAACAATTTTCCAACAGCTGATCGCTGGTTTCAAAATGGCTGCCAGGTAGATAAAATGGCTCCCCGCTGTGTTTAGGGACGGATTCCTCGCAAGACAGGCAGCGAATATGGCCACCCTATGGAGGATCTTCGCTGGACGATGAGTTTTAAGCCCATCGGAATGCATTAAACAGGTTTTAATGCGTTTCTATGGGCTTTTAAATTTTGCTTTATGATGATTTCGTTCTACAGAGATTTCGCTAGAACAAATTAACATCGTAATGCAAGGCACCACTGTAATGTGTTGCCCCCATTAAGCTTTCTTGCACTTATAACACATACTGTATATACTCGAGTAAAAGCCTAGTTTTTCAGTACAATTTTTTTTGCTGAAAAAGCACCCCCCTCGGCTTATACTCAAGTCAGTTTAAAATTACATGTTCTCCAGACTCTCCCGCTCATCCACAGGCGCTTGCAGTCTCTGTGGGTGGTCCGATGACCCAGGTCAAGTACACTGTATTTCCGTTTCCAGGACACTCCCATCCTCCTCCATATTCTATGTACCCACTTTCCTCCTCCCACCTTCCTCCTCCATCCTCTGTCTCCCTCCATCTTGTTACGCAGCAGTAGATAAGTGCAGCATCCGGTATGAGTCCTCCCTTCACAAGCAGTGAAGTGTGTCTCGCAGCTCAGAAGGGCAGTATCTTCAAAAACATTTAACCTGCTGATGCTTCAATTAATGTACTTTTATTGCTATCTATTTTTATTTTTGAAATTTACCAGTAGCTGCTGCGTTTTCCACCCTCGGCTTATACTCTAGTCAATAAGTTTTCCCAGTTTTTTGTGGTAAAATTGGGTTCCTCTGTTTATATTCGGGTCAGCTTATACTTAAGTATGTACGGTACTTAGTTGCATTATTGTTTGTCTCAGTAATTATTATCATAATTAGGCAAAGTTTCTTATTTATCTTGTTTTCCCTTCATCTCTTTCTTGCTCAGAGGCAGATGTTTTCTTTAATCAGCCTCTACCTTGTATATGGCATCTTGCAGTTGTTCAGCCTTTAGTTTCAGCTACGTCAATGAGCACTTTTGTACTGTAACCTAAGTTTCTTATTTATCTTGTTTTCCCTTCATCTCTTTCTTGCTCAGAGGTAGATGTTTTCTTTAATCAGCCTCTACCTTCTCTTGTATATGGCATCTTGCAGTTGTTCAGCCTTTAGTTTCAGCTACGTCAATGAGCACTTTTGTACTGTAACCTAAGCTTAGGTAAAGGTTCCTCTTGACAATTTTTTGTCCAGTCGTGTCCGACTCTAGGGGGCGGCGCTCATCCCGCTCTTCAAGCCATAGAGCCAGCGTTTGTCCGAAGACAATCTTTCCGTGGTCACATGGCAATGTGATTTAGACACGGAACGCTGTAAGCTTACAGACAGTTATTCCATTTTAAGTACATTAGAAATATTGAAGTTGTCAGGGATTCTGTGAAGAGTTTGTAGCATTCCATTTATATTGTTATGTGCATAATCTAAGCTTGGAACTAGTATTACAGAAAACATTCGACTGCCACAAAACATCTCCTGGCAGGAGTAGGCATATTGCAATGTTAATGAGGTGTGGATACCTAGTGTTTGGAGGAGTTAACTTGACATGAGTCTCAGTTTCCACAGCAGTCATGTGTTCTTTTAAAATAATGCCATTTTGAGGTTCTGTAACTTAACTGATACGTTGGAACTAAAATTCCTTTTCCTAAATTTCCTGGGCAGGGAGAATTTCATTAACATCAATATACAGAACTGTGTGTTAGAAGAATAATAGAATAGTTGAAAGACTAACCGTCTTTAAGGTACCATGGCTTTTTGTCTTCTTAATTTTTATATTCTTTAAATTGTTTTTTGCTTTTGGGCTTTGTTTGATAGAATGCATGTGAGACTATGGGATAAATACATGAAATTATAAAGGAGGTTGAATGTGTTTTGAGATGATGTGCTTGCTTCAGGAAGAGGTGGCCCATATAGATATGAGTCAGATATGTGTACCTTTATTGTGTAGAAGCCAACACTGGAAAGCATTTCAAAGCAAGAATTGGGATTATGTGGCCCTTCATCTGTGGACTGCTACTCCCAGCACCAACCTCTGGAGGACTACACATCACCATTCCTTTTTTAGAACCTGTCTTCTCAAGATGCACTTTAAACAGATGTTAGAGGGAGCATATTCTTTCAACCTGAGAATCACTTATTTGTCAGTAAATACTCTTTATAATTGAACTGTAGGCGGCCAATCAACTATAATGATTTCTGTGTTTATTTTTAGATATGGCTCGTGGACAGCAGAAGATCCAGTCACAGCAGAAAAATGCCAAAAAGCAAGCTGGACAGAAGAAGAAGCAAGGCCATGATCAGAAGGCTGCAGCTAAGGCAGCTTTAATATACACATGCACTGTCTGTAGGGTAAGGGTAAAAAGTCTTTCTATGCTCTGAGGGGGAAACTCTTACTGTAAAAAGCTGTGCAGATTGTGTGAAATGTGTCTGTTTGATGCATACATGCACATTAAATTTGCATTCAAGGGAATCCCTTTCACCCTAGTCAGAAATGTCTGATCCATCTTGTTCCTATTTGGCAGGTATAATGTGTTCTAAACCTTTGCTTACCACTGTGGTTCTTATCTGGATTGGGGGCTCTGGGCCAGCAATTTGCATTACGAGAAAATATATCAGTGAATTACAAGTGTAGGGTTCACAGTTCACATTATTACTGTGGTTTAAAGCCCTGTATCTCCTTTGCAAACATATCAAAGTGACTTGGAACAGTATATTGTCAAACAATGTGGCAAGATATCTTCCGCTAACATCATAGGAACTTATTTCTAGACATGATACCAAGCATATTCCTAATAATTGGTGTGTGTTTTGTTAATTGTTGTAAGTGGCAATAAAAAGGATATTGTTGTAGACCCATGTAAGTATCAGCCTGGCAAAGACTTGGTTGTTAACTGGTAGGTAATGGACCTGCATCCATCTGTGTATGGCGTGTAATGTGTGGTGTGTATGTATACTTTATACCTAGTGAAAGGTTTCTCAGGTCAGGGTCATGCAAAAATGTTTGTTGGTATCTGAAGGTAAGTCTGTGTGTGATTTTGCGTTAGATATAAACAGGTTTCTGACTCCCAATTATTTAACAATAACAACTGAAAAACTTGGACCAACCCCTTCAATTAGGTTGCAGAGAAAGAAAGCTTTCGGTCCCTTTATTTTTTACCATATGCCAACCAGCCTGTGTCACTAATTTAGCCCTGGCTTCAGTCAATAGATTGTGGACTGCTAGTGAAAAAACACAATGGTTTCTGCAAGTCTGAAGTCTCTTCACAGTCTTCAATGGCTTGGTATGTCCCTTTTTTCTCAGTTGTTAATGGCTTTTTCAACAAATCTGTTTTGTAGGAAAATGGATTGGAAAACCTAAAAGGCTATGGTAGTTTCATATTGATTTAAAACATCACAAAAGGAAGAATGCATCTCTGTAATCAGAAGTGACAGGTAGTGGAGCTGCAACTGGTGTAATTGTGGCAATTAAAAAAGCAACATGGCAGACTATATTAAAAATTGTAGAAGAAAAAAAATGAAACAATACTTATAAATGAACTTTTAAAGCATATCTACAAAAGATACCATAAACAAACATTCCTTAAATAAACAAAGTAGGATTTCAAGAAAATTAAAATGTCTATTAGAGTTTTGCATTTTTTAACCTTCAAAGAACTGTACAATTACAATTTGAATTTACTAATTTTAAAAGTGAATACCAGCAAACAATAGTGAAGAAAACACATAGAGTGAGAATGGGGACACAGTTATTATCTTGAAGGAAAGATAGAAAATATCCACTAGTTATCTGAAGCCAAAGACTGCTGAGAAGACTCCACAGTCGGGTGATAAGAGGGCAGGTCCTTTTATGGATAGAGAATTGGTTGAGAACCAGGAAACAGAGTAGGTGTCAATGGGCAATTTTCACAGTGGAGAGAGATGAAAAGCAGTCTGCCCCAAGGATCTGTCCTGGGACCGGTGATTTTCAACCTGTTTATAAATGACCTGAATAAGCAGTGAGGTGGCCAAGTTTGCTGATGACACTAAACTTTTCCGGGTGGTGAAGACCAGAAGGGATTGTGAAGAGCTCCAGAAGGATCTCTCCAAACCGGGAGAATGGGCGGCAAAATGGCAAATGTGTTTCAGTATAAGAAAGTGTAAAATAATGCACATTGGGGCAAAAAACCAAAAAAAAAAAACAAACTTATCAGCTGCTGGGTTCCAAGCTATCTGTGATGGATCAGGGAAGAGATCTTGGTATGCTGGTGGACAGCTTGATGAAAGTGCCAACCCAGTGTGTGGCAGCAGTGAAGAAGGCCAGTTCTATGCTAGGTATCATTTAAAAGGGGATTGGAAATAAAACAGCCAACATTCTAATGCCATTGTACAAAACGCTGGTAAGGCCGCACCTGGAGTATTGCGTACAGTTCTGGTTGCAGCACCTCAAAAAGAACATAGTGGAACTTGAAAAGGAGCAGAAGAGAGTGACTAAAATGATGACTGGGCTGGGGCACCTCCCTTATGAGGAAAGGCTACAGCATTTGGGGCTCTTTAGTCTAGAGAAAAGGCACCTGAGGGATGGCATGATTGAGACATATAAAATTATGCAGGGGATGGATCAAGTGGATAGAGGGAAGCTCTTTTCCCTCTCACACAATATCAGCACTAGGGTACATCCACTCCAATTGAGTGTTGAGAGAGTGAGAACAGACAAAATATTTCTTTACCTAGCATGGTGGTGTTACTCTGTGGAACTCCTTCTCACAGGATGTGGTAACGGCATATGGCCTAGATGCCTTTAAAAGGGGATTGGACAGATTTCTGGAGGAAGAGTCAATCACAGGTTACAAAACATGATGGGGATTATAATCTCCAGGTTTAAAAGGAGGGTGCTTCAAAATGCCAGATGGAGGGGTATCAGGAGACAGGAATCTTGTTTTCTCGTGTGCTCCCAGAGGCATCTGGTGTGGCCACTGTGAAATACAGGGAGCTGGACTAGATGGGTCCTTTGCTCTTGTGTTCTTATAAGAATTTGAATGGATGGAAGCAGGAAAGTGAGGAGCTGTCAGAACAGCACCTCCCAAATCATCTTGTAGCCATAAAATCTTAAATAGATTCTGCTTAACTTGAATATACATAGAGAGGCTCTCATTGGGTTTTTGTGGGTTTTCATCCTCCATAAAACTCCCCTTTCTTCTTAATCAGACACAGATGCCAGATCCCAAGACATTCAAACAGCACTTTGAGAGCAAGCATCCGAAGACTCCACTCCCTCCAGAACTGGCGGATGTTCAGGCATAAAGTCCACAGGTGACTATTTTATTGTTTATATTTGAATTATGTACACCATAATACTCTGATCTAGATTTCTTTCTGATTTGTCTCATATATAATATACAATACCTATAGATGTAATGAAAACTCAGAATTAATATGAACGTAAGTGGCTTGAATTAATTTTGTTTTGATCCTTGCCATACTTAGTGAAATTTCACTTATATATTTAGAACATCACGTAGTAACATCTATAGTTGCCAAATGGCAGAAAATCAGCTAGTACCTAAATGTGTGATGTCCTTGTTTTATTATTACCTGTTTGTTACAGGGATTCAGGGAATTTAATTATGATATGGCATCACGTTTAATTATAGGATGCTAGTGGAGACATGAAATCATATAGCAGTTTCATTTAACAACATTTTTCTTGTCTTGCAGGTGAATTCATGGAACCTGATTATTCTTCTGCGATCAGACATTGCATAACAAATCTGCAGCTGCTTTTCTAACAAACTGTTGATCAACAAAAAATGAAGGGGCTATAGAAACATTCATATTTTTATGCTGTTCCTCTTGGGCTTTATGTAAAGACAAATCTATGTAACTGTACAGTTGTGCCCTACTTGGAAATCTAAAAATTGGTTCATTCTTAAATTTTTTACAGTTGTAATTATATTGATGTTCATATTGTGTAAAATAACTCATTTAATAAAATAGTACTTTGATTTTACAATATCACAGGTCAAATGCTTCTAGAAGTTCTCTTTTCAGTATCTTTGTTTTATTTGCCTTATAGAATCATAACAAGTGGACTTCTCCACCTGCCGAAAAGCAGTATCATTGTTCTAACACCATTGTTGTTAAGAGTCCACATTAACTAGACCATTGTTTCTCCATTCAACATGCTACTTGCTTTGAACTTGATTATTTTCTACAACTTAATATCTTTGACTAAAGAAATAAGTTCTTTCATTGTAGTTTTGAGTGCCTGTTCTACTGGCTATTATGATTTTTCACTCTTATATCTTAATGAGCTTTTAACTTGGATTCATGCACTGGAGTCATCTGCAGTACCTGTAAATCATCATGTCAGGTGGTAGACTGGTGGATGTATAGTAGAACTGAACTTGTTTTTCCTTTGGCCTAAACAGTCACATGAACGCTGAAATAATTAATCTCTGTTGTCAAGTTTGGCTGTGTAAGTTTAAATGCATCTATGGGAAGTCAGCCACACTGGCTACATAAATGTGTAAAAATGACTACTGTAATCATTTCTGTTTGAAAGCCAAGTGTTGAATAAGTCTGTTTGAATGAACAGGGTGGCACATGAAGTAAAATGATGACTAATTAATCTTTGATTACTGGGAACTAATTAAATGTGGTAAGGTGGAGATGAAATTTTTGCAATCTTGCATACAGGTTTTTTTTGTGCACTCAGAAAATGTTTGAACATGATTCTGATATCAGGTGCAGAGTGCTTTAGTTCTGTTCCAGCCACTTTTACTTAAACTGCTAATTTGTGATGATACAATGGAATTTGCATCCCATTGCTTGTACATTGAAGGAAATTGTGTTCTAATTTTCCTTGCTTTGGGCCTGGTCCATTTATCTTCTAAATTGTTCTTTTAGAATAATTCTTCAGTTAAGATACTGCTCACACACAGGCCCGCAAATTTGGTGCACAAAATTCAATCACAGTTCTAATATAAATTCTCACATGCCATTTCAGTCAGCTGCCTTTAATCATTTTGGGATTATCCTTTTCAGTTATATAGCTATCTTGCTCTCATATGCCTGACATTAGAATGTAGCCCTTAATTCATTTAATTTTGTCTTCTGATAACATCAGCCTGATATGATAACTGGGCCTCAGTAAGCAAAGATCTGCCTTCTGGGCTGCTGTGGGTTACTTAAAAATATTGAAACAGATTTTTTTTAAAGTAACCAAATGGGATTTTTGTTCACCAAATTTACTTTTGTAGTCAGATTTTCGGAAGATATTCCAAAAGATTACTTTCAGATAATTCCTGACGTTGATAACATGTAATGTTTTCTTTCAGACTACAGTATTTAGCAACAAGTGAAATGAGATTTGCTTATAAATTTGGGAACAACAATATAGGTTTTTTGCAAGGTGTAGAATGAATGACTTACATGCAGACTTTGCATTTTTCTAAATGGCTGTCATTGGTAGCTTGTGTCTATGCATTAAGCAAGTTAGTTCTTGGGTTTATACATTACTAAAGCTGTTGCAAACAGATTCTCTGTTTCTAATCAGTTAAAAGCCGCAAGAAATCTTGATGTTCAACACGCATGGGAACAAAAGGGAGGGGGAAAGGGAGGGATCTGAAGCAGTAGGAACCATGAATATTGTTGACATAAAGATATAGGAGTAAGGGATATATGTGAAGAAACGTCCTTCTTTCCATATCTTGTGGATGGTACCCTGTTAATTCTGAACAAAAAGACACGTGTGCATTGTAATGTGTCTGATTAAAATCTTTTAAAAAGCAAAAGTGTAAAATGTGATATTTCCTGCCTACTTAAAGCAAGTGTCATTTTCTTAAGCTTGATACTGGCTGGGCAGTTTTAGTTCTTTGTTTAGCATAAGGAATGGAAATGACAGAGCAAACATTTTACTCCACTTTCCAAGCATGAGTAATAAGGGTATGGAAGCACCAGGATAAGGTTGGGGAGAAAACTTGGCATAAGTCTTGGTAAACTGCCCAGAAAAATTTGCTGTAATGAGCTGTGTTGCCTATTGGGATTCAGCAAGTCGGCTTGCTTTGTATAATTTATTAAGCCACTATTCAGTTATTATGTCACACTTGAAATGCACCAGACACAATCTGAAAAAATTCAAGGTGATACATTCATGCAATCCCTCCATGTAAAATTGGTCAAAGATTCAAGGATTGTTTGTATATAGACTTGTTGAAATAACATTCTCGTGAAGTGCTATCAAATTTCACCTTTTAGAATGTTGCCTAAGTTTGAAGTTTGAGTGTTAGCAGGACCTCCTGCAAAATGTATAATGAATGTCAAATGCTACAATGTTAGACACAAAATTTGTTGTAACTCATTTTATTGTTGGTTGGTGCCTGTCTCATATGAATGGATCAGGCTATCTGAGTTTTAGAGCTTTTGAGTCATACGAAGTGAAGAAAACTTTTTGCATTTCAGCTGTGTGCTATGCTAAGTGCTTTTCTGTCTCTCAGGGCAATAGTACATCTGCAGCATTAGAATGAAATTGCATGCATTATTGCAGAAAACATCAAGGCGGTACGTGCCCAGAATAAGATAACTGACTTAGTACAGTAATTTACTGGAATGGGTATTGAGCTGAAATAATTTAGTGTTGCTTGAGCATGAACTAGACTAATACTCTTCTAAAAATTGCTGCAGCTAAAATTTAGAAAGATGAAATTTTATCTGTGTTCCTTGAGAGGCCTGCAGTCTGCTTCAGTTTTAGAAAACTGTTGAATTAATGTTGTAATAGACCAGTTGAAATCAATGGGACAAGCTTTTTAGTCTCATTGACTTGAATATTTCTTTTGAGGTATGTCTTAATTCTTTTATCCCAAACAGAACCTAAATTGGTAAACAATAGTAATTGTGACATTCAGTAAAATGAGAATAAGTCTACTGCATAAAATTTACATCTCCACATAATCTAGTATTATTTGGCTATAACAGCCAACGAGCTTCTTTCAAGAAGCACTTAAAGAACATACAGTATTTTCTATATTTTATCATGCCATTCCCTATTTAGGGGTATGGTGCATCTAGTCACAGATCTTCCATTTATCCACCATTGGTGATATTAATAGATTTACAGTGAATACTTTTCTTCAGCTACTTCACATGCTTTGTTGCAAAACAAATGTGTAGACCAGTAAACTAAAATCTCATCACTACAGATACGTTGTCATGTGCATAGTGGAAGTTGTGAACCATCTAGGATCACCAATTTGGTACCTAATGCTAGCAAGCAAAATTATATACTGTCAATTTATTAAAAAATTGCCTGCATATTGTATTGATATAAGAAATAAACATACTTGGATAAGCATTCTGCAAGACTGAAAACTATAAATAATGTATGCCATAAGCAAGAAAAAAGGTTGCAGCAAACCCCTGCATCTAGCCACTCTCTGTGGTACCCATTTTTGTTGTGTGGTACCCATACTTTGCCAGACATAAGCAACTGTCTGCTCCTTAGGCAAACATTGCAAAGGTATGACATGAAGATTTTGTCATGCTGTGCTCAATGCATTAGTGGAGTTCTCTTAAAATGGAGTGTTTTCTTAAAATGATTTGGGAATGTTAATTTATGACCATGCTGCTGGCAAATTTGTATACAACAAAATGTATTTATACTTCTAGGACTCTTCCTGTATTGTTTTTCACTTGCACTGAATCCTGAAATATTTTACAATATCATCATGAGATGTTTAAAAACTATTCAAAAGAATTCAGTATAGCTCATGACTAGAAGAATTCCTCATGAAAAGATGCCTTGGGAGCTGATGCACTGTGGAGGAGAGAGCATTCCTCAGGGTAAGTGCTGGCACAGACAAGGTCTGCTCAGTGATGACACCAAACAGAAATCCATAAACATGGACAATAAAGGGTTCCCCAAAAGTCATAGGGGGGCTGCATACCTAACACCAGAACAGTTATATGCACTTCTTCAAGCATTTGAAAAATCTGTCATAGTGGTTACCTTGTTTTTCCTTGTTAGTAGGCCATATGTTGTCTGTCCCATATTATGAACTGCCTGCATAGTGTGAATTAGTTTAATGTATTAATAACTAGCTAATGAAAAAGCTTGTGTATATGCTAGTCTAAATCAATGTTACATGGTACTTCTTTCATTCTTTGCAATAATGCATAAACTTTGAGGAAAGAATATTGATTACCTTTTAATTAGCCTGGCAGATGAATGAAGCCATGCTTTCTTTTCCTTTTTGAAAAAATGGAGGCTATCTTTCCCTACTACTTACACAATGTTATGCAGCAGAACGTACAAACAGTAGAGTACCTCTGGGATGTTGCTGGTTACCTGACCAAACCAGCACAAAAAAAGGAGTAATAGAAGTACTTTAGTCATCCCAGAAATAAATAAATAAATAAATATATGCAGCCGATACAGGTATGTGTTCTCCCTTCCCTATAATCTAAGATTGGGAAAGTTACTGTTTTCAGACTATAACTTCCAACATACTCTAGCGAGCATAGCCGCTGCTGGCTGGAATATTATGGAAGCTAGTAATGAAGTAAATTAAAAGAATTTAATTTAATTAAGGAATATGCAATTGAAGGAAAAAGAAAATTAAGAAGTACAAAATCCTTATTTTGAAATAATATCAGTGACATGTTAAGTAATTACTGAAAGACTTAATAAATCAGGGAGGGGTTGTGAATTATTTTCTAACAATTTCCTTCCAGACTCCACAGGTTAGATATTCCCTTCACTAGATCCACCTGCAGCCCAATCTTCCTCCTCCAAATATCTCTCATGGGGGACCAAACATTGTGGATCATGCCTTTGAATGTTGTGAAATTCCTTTAGCCAATTTCTGGCAGTCCTGATACACAAATAGATATCACCCCAATCTAAAAAACATACCTTTTAAAAATCAGCCAGTAATAAAAAGTGTTGACTTTTGCATGCATCTGGAAGAACTCTGTAAATAGGAATGTGCTTAGCTATAATGTAACTGGTTGAAGTGCAGTTGCATATTCGAATTAAAGAAAATGTGACATTGTTAATGCCATTCTCAGTACAGTAGGATGGAACAAAATATTCTGCACTAATAGGTAGAGAATTTAAGTTTAATGATCAAACTTGTCATCATAAATGTACATTTTGTCCCACTGTTAAAGAGAGAAAATCTGGCTTCATAACCTCTATGTCCACTTATCTATTTTCTGCATGTAGGAAAAAAGCATAAATCCATCTGATGTCATTGTTCTGCTGGATCTTGACATGCTGCAAAGAATTAACCATCAAAATCCAGGGGAAAATCTGTTTCTTGTAGTTACAAAAAACATTTTGTAAGCTCACTCAGCCTTGTGGCACAGTGGTTAAATTGCTGTACTGCAGCCAAGACTGCTCATGACCCGGGGTTCAATCCCAGGTAGCCAGCTCAAGGTTGACTCAGCCTTCCATCCTTCCGACGTCAGTAAAATGAGTACCCAGCTTGCTTGGGGGGGCAATGTGTAACCTGCATAATTAACTTGTAAACCGCCCAGAGAGTGCTTGAAGCGTTATGGGGCGGTATGTAAGCAGCACACTTTGCTTTTGCTTTAAATAAATATTCTACTGACCTTTGATTCAAAAAGCTT